ATGAATAAAACGATTAACTGTGAAAAAGAAGCATTAGACATTTTGTAACTAAACTACAAAAAGAAAATCTATGCAGCTGTTGTAATTTGTTTCTCACAGGGGTGTATGTTAGCAAGAATCTGGCGATATGACAAATATCACAATACAAAGAAGACGATACGATATATAGCAACACTAAAAGCCAGACAATACTAGCTATTTTTTAAGATCGAGTTTAATAGGGAGCCTAAGCCACGCCTATCTACTTCTGGATCACGAGTCAGCGAAAGAATGAAGAAATGAATGCAAGTCAATGGGGCTAAAAACGCTATTTTCTAATCTCGTTTGTTGTGCACCACAGATTTTACATATGATGTCTGAATTTTAAATTCGCATTTTGATGCAAAAAACAAACTTATTTTCGAATGGGGGAAACGTTATTTTAGGTTGTGTGTGGTACTACGTCCAGGACTACAAATGCGCATCACCAAAGTGACGTCACTGAATCAGACACGGAGAAAAACAGAGGGAAAATGGCTGTAAGTAGGGCTGCTCGATTATGGCAAAAATAATAATCACGATTATGGTGACTGAAATTGAGATCACGATTATTTAGGACGATTTTTCAATTTATGTTGATTTTATTTGTTTTTATTCAGTCATAAAATTGCTCAGGGCACAATCAGGACAAAAATAAGAAACAAGATGATCACTAAAAGAACTCCTGATTCCCTGTATAAAAGACCAATATACTTATAGCTCATAGTCTATGACCCAAGGGCTGTAGACCTTGGTTTAACTCATTTAAGTCTAACCAGTACAGAACCAAATACCAATATCTTGCAAATACTGACAGCAAGAATTATACAGTGGCATTTATAACAAATAAATGCAAATAAATTGATGTTCACAAAATGTTGCATAACATTTATTGAGTTGTGTCAAGGTGCTGTAGGAGAGTGCACTAGCACCGTGTCCTCAGAGAGATTAGTTATTATTTATCAGCGTGAGGAAGTTATTTCTACCTTATTTACAAACTATTTATTTACAAGTCCATCAGTTAATGTAATAATTGTCCCAACCACAGCTGCACCCCCCACCCCCCAACCCGGTCTCACAGCAATCAGGGGCAAGCTGCACGTGTGTTTAGCGCGCCGCACGCGCACATTTAGCTGTTTTTAGCGGCTCAGGAGTCCGCAGGTGCGGTGTGTGTGTCACTCACTCTGGTTACTCCAACAGGGAGCAGGGCGGCTCCGAGAGCTGTCTTTAGCGACCGACACATCACTACATCATTCCCTTTCCTATAATGTCCTGAAGAACGGTCCGGAGTGCAGGCGGAGTGTTTAGCTAACCTGCAGGAAACGTCGACGATAGTTATCCAGAAAGTAGCTAAGGGTTACCAGAGATGTTTCTGAGGTGTTCGCTAGGTACTTTCAGGATTAAAAAGTCAAGAAGGGGGTCTGAAAAGCTGTTAGAAATAGCGTCAAAGTCGCTAAGTTGGCAACACTGTGGAGGAGCGCTTCATTTGCAACTCAGGGCAGCGCAAGCGGGAGGAGCAAATAATCGGCTTGTTTTGTTTTTTATAATCGTTCAAAACTCAGATCGTAATCGTGATTAAAATTCGATTAATTGAGCAGCCCTAGCTGTAAGTTCAGCAAACTTCAAATGCTTCCTTCAGAAGGAAAAAAACAACTATAAAGCTGGCCATTTGGTAAGTAGCAGCTACACTAGGGGAGAGGAAATTATGTGGTGATGTCATATGTGACGTGCCGATGTCTGACTTGTTGTCATGCAAATTACGAACTTTTCCCAAGTTCATATATCTCAAAGATCGTGACTGTTGTGGTCGAAACACATTATTACTTTTCATTTGAATTACAGTACAACATTCGTGTGTTCCAGGGCGTAGGGCAAAGCGGATTAGAAATGAGCTCTTTTAGCTCCGTTGACTTGCATTCATTTTTTCATTCTTCCGGGGACCCATGAGCCGACCGGGAAGGGAGGAGACTAAGGATCCCTACAGGAAAAGAGCTTGTTCCATCAGAGTGAAGGAGGTAAAAGCTGCTGCCCCCTAGCAGTCAGAATATGAATTGCAAAACACAAAAGAAAATCCTGTTTGCGTGGAAATTATAAAAAATTTTTAAAAAAAATGCACCGCATTTAACTCATTCGCTGCCAGCATTTCCTGATCGGTAAAGCCCTTCGCTGCCAGCATTTCTCACCGTTTTTACAGTCTTTTTAAGAGTCACAGAATGTTACGCTCCAGGATGATGTTGATGACAAAACAACCAAAACAAAGCTGAGACTCACCTCTTACATCAGAAAGAATCCGCGCGTTTTGAGCGTTAGCCATTCTTTCATAATCCGTTGTTGAATTGTGATCGGCAGAGGCTTTTCCGGTTCGCGCTAGGGGTGGGCAATATAAATGATATAAGGTAGAAACGATATAAAATTGGGTAACGATAGAGTTTTTGGCTATATCGCAATACCGCGATATGACAATAACACATGACGTCACTAAGATGTGCACCCTGCTGACATTGGGACAACAGAATGGCAGTGACTGCAAGCATGGAGTGGGCGGAGGAGGCCTATATGCCTCAAGTGGCATATATTTGCCACATGAGGGTATTTAAAAGCATGTCATTTTGACATCTATAAAAAGAGGACAAAATATATCGCAATATATATCGTTACCGCACATGCTTCAGATTATATCGCAATATAGATTTGAGGCCATATCGCCCATCCCTCGCCACACTTTTTTTACAGCAGCGGCCCAAAACGATCTGCTAACACATGGATCGTCTGCTTCCTGATCATGTGACGTATGTGGATGAAGATCGGCTTTGGAGCTGAGATGTTTGTTATCACGGTGCAGGGGCTCATTCCGATGCCCACACAGTAAACAAATGCAAATGACGACTTTGTTATTGGCAGTGAACGGTTGGATTTAAAATGATGACTTTAGTCGTCAATGGCAGTGAATGCGTTAAACGCCAATTCAGCATCATAACAAGAAATACTGCGATATTTCAACATACTAATATTTTTGTACATCCCTAGTTTCCACTCCTCACTGTGGGCTTATATAAAACCTTCTGAAAAAGCGTCAAACATACCAATTCAAGGAGACTCCAATTGGAAATGTGTGTATTTTCTTGCACTTTTGTGTTTCTAAATGTTCAAAGCCCATGGAAATGGAGGCTGGATATTTTTTTTTAGACTTCAAGTTCCTCTACATGGTTTCTACTGAGAAGAGTCACTTCATCAGTGACACATGAAGTCCAGATGACACAACTGAAAACAAAGTTCTTATTCCACAAAATAGTGACACATATGCCAGATAAATCTGAAATAATAGCAACAAATCAGACATTCAGGTTCACAGAAAATCCACAAAGTTCACTAAACAGACTGATGATGCTACATTGGGTCTAATCAGGCTCTGTGCACTTTGCACCAACGTGCTGGTATTATCTCCTATGTTGAACCTGCCAAAGTTCTTTAAAAAAAAACAGGAAACAAGTTCAACTGTTCTGGTCAGTTTAATGCTAAGATCATGGGAATACTCACAGGACATGACCACCAAGCCTCCTGAGAGCTTCATCATGTGTACCTGACCAAATCTTCTGTCTGGTTTTACATTCGTCATGTACTGGTAACACTATGTGCCATTCCGTATGACCTGCATGGTGGTTTTGTGAGTATCACAATGTTACAGTTTGACTCAAAAACATCAATAATGTCCAAAAGAATGAAGTGTTGAGGCAAACAAAGTTGCACTCTGTTCCCTTTTTATATCTGGCTCTTTGGCAATCGTTCACAAAGGAGAAGTTTGCAGCATCAAGCCACAAATGAACTGCGGGACTAATTTTGATATCTGGGAGAAGATTTTTATTTTTACTTGCAGCAACCTGTTGAGAACCCAAGTGATGCCTAGAATGCACTAATGCAAAAAATAAAATAAAAAAAATAAAAAAACACCACTGCACACAGCCAGGTTAAAATACCATCACCCAAACAACCAGCAGTGGTTTCAAAACATGTCAGATCAGGCCCAGCTCCAAAACATTCTCTTTACATGCCTGAAATGTGCACAAAAGGTAACCTTCCCTTACAGGACCACTGATGCTAATTGTTTTACACTACATGCTGACAGTGGGTGTAAACAAATGCCCAAATAAGGCCAAAGAGTCCCAAAAGAACAACGTTCTGACAAAATTAACGCTGTTTTCTTGTGTTTTATTTTCTCTTCAGGCAAGAGGCCAGTGCTCTAGTTAGAGCCAAACAATAATGCGTTTATCCATGAGCTGAACTGATAACAGTTTCTCTAATCCACACAATTGGCACGATCACAAGGCCAGGCCTAAGGAAACCACAGGAAGCACTTGTGCTCATGCAAAGCTATCTAAGGACTTCCATTCAAAGGCTCCTGGATGAAAACGCAATGACTTCTTACTACTATTTCCTTATGAGTGTCATAAAACACTGCCTGTAATCTTCATGAGTGTTATGACAGTAAATCACCTCGTGCCAGTCCAATTACGTCTCATAGTGGGGCTCTGAATGTAAAGTTTGGTGAAGACTTAGATTTAAATAAATGAAAGAAAATAAAACACCCGTTTAATAAAACGAAAATATGTAATAATACCACAAGCCCTCAATACAATAATATCAAAACGACAAATTCAGCTTCAAATAAAATAACACTATGTTGTCCTGTGTTTTTTAGTGCTCTTTGCTGAATGTTAACCGCCTGGCTGTTTGATTTGGCCTACTTTTATTAGAAAATACTGCTCCAGCAGACACAGCGAGTTGCCTCCTGGCTGCACGCGGCCAACAGTAGCAGGGACACGGTGTAGGCCCCCACCAGAGTCCCCGGATCGTGCGATAGGCCTCCCCTATGCGTCTGACCCTCAGCCCTTTGCTTTCAGCCCTAATCAGTTTCTCCCGCTCGGAGCCCACGGGGAATGATAGTCACGGGAAGACCAAAATCAAAACAATTTGAGTTTATTTACCTGTCTGTGGTGGGTCCGTTGACGTGAGGACGAAGAGAAGAGAGAAGAGGACGAAACTGCTGCTGTCAGCCTTCGGCAACATTTATCCTCCATTCATAGTAACTCCTTTATTGAGAAATTTAAAAATATACCGTGGACCTGCAACGCCTCCGCCCTCAACTAATCTACTACGGCAGACACTTTGCACAATTTATACCCACATTCATGAACTTTAACCGTCGACTAACCAAATAAACCGACATAAATAGAGCATAGTCTCACTGGACAGCGCCACAGATTGTGGTTAATCTGGTTGAGCAGCTAGCGTTAGCTTGCGTTGATGTCGTCCGTGCGGAGCGCCGCTCATCCAAGATGGCCGTGGACTCCCTTCACAACAATCCCAAACATGCACGCACAAGCTAGGCATCAGCTGGAGGTGCTGCCGGGGCGGAGTTCAGCGCACAATATAAACAACCTGAGTGCGGGATGGGTGGAGTCAGAAGAAGGGCAAGTGTTGTCATATTTATCTCACCGGGTAAAAAAAACAGAGAGGGTAAAATCCATCGACATGTACATAAAATCAGATGACTGGTGTTTTACCCAAATCTGTTACCGTGAGAAACCTGGTCCAACCAATGTCAGTTCAGCACTGTGTGGACGCCGACGCATGCGGTTAGCTGAAAAGTGAAAAGGTACTTCAAAGAAGAAAATAAATTGAAACAAATAATATTTTACGTCGGTTAAAATAATTGGTGCCACTGCTAAGAGAAAATGAGGATGTGTCGAGATGAAAAATCCAGCAAGAAGTTGAAATTGTTGCAAGCTACCTTATTGTTGGTGAAATGGTTATAAAACATATGCATTATTTCTTTTTGACATTAGAATGGATAATTTCGATCATCCGAGTGTGTGTGTGTGTGTGTGTGTGTGTGTGTGTGTGTGTGTGTGTGTGTGTGTGTACCTTTGTTATTGTTTTTGTCAAATTATTCTCTAAGCGTTTTGCTGCTGTAACAAGTGAATTTCCTTCACCGTGGGATCAATAAAGTCTATTCTATTCTAAACCATAATACAGTAGTAAAAAAGCAGGTTTATGTCTAAATGTCACTGCATACAGATGCAAGAAAATCTTTTAAGTAATCCAGATTATTTTAGCCTGATTATACAAGTCTGATTTTCATCATTATAACAGAAAACAGTCAACTGATTAGAAGAAGTTATTACAGAATCATTAAGAGCTCAGGCCTAATAAACAAAGAAGTATAATTAAAGATGTTTTCTTGTTCTGTTAAAAAAAATATTTTTATTTATTCATTTTTTTTCGTGTCCTGTCTGGCTGTGAAGCAAACAGAATTAATGTCTGAATGCTGGTGACAAGCCTTACATATTTACTCTCAGGTGGAGCATCAAGCATCTGCTTTTAATGTCACGCCTGGTACTTAAAACTTTATTGTGACTGTTTTTTTAATGCTTTGTAATTCCAACCAGACACGGAGACAGAGGTGAAAGAGAAGGGGGGGGGGGGGGGGGGATTCCACAAAAATAAATAATTAATGATGAACAAGAGTCTGCTTTTAGACCTGCAGATAAGGGACACACAACAATACAACAGGAGCAAGCTATCACTGTGTTGGCTTGATGAAGAAATATGAAATCAACATTGTTTTACTGAACAATCACACGATAATACATCACATTGCATTTAGTGCCCACCACAGCCTTAAGACATGTGTTGAACGTGCCCTAGTCCATACCTATGAGAGCACCATGTGAGCACCTGTGTGTGTACACTCACTTGTATATATAAGGTTTCTCTATAGGAGCGTCCAATAGAGAGTGTGAGGGGCCACAGATCTGCCCCCCAAAAATGTGTAGGAGATGGGAGCTCCAAGTCTCAGAGATTCCGGAGCTGCCCCAGAGCGCAGGGACCCCAGGGAGAATGCAACCAGAAAAGCCCCTGCCCCCCTCGAGAGGCGCTGAGGATTGCCCCGGGGGGCCACAACCAGCAGCCGGCAGAGTCCCGGGAGATATCAGCGGCAAGCCCACAGGCCCTCCCACAGCCTCCCACCCCCTAGCCAGCCGAGCCCGGAACCCAGCGACCCGGGACCCAGGGGACAACAGATGTGTAAGACCCCTAGTCTCCCTCCACCTGCTCCAATATAGTGTTAGTGCGTGTTGATGAGGTGTATTCCATGGCTGTGGTGAGCGGGCAGTGCGGGCATCGTCTGGCCTACGCCAGCTGATGCCACCACACCACCCCACTTGCACCCACAGCCCTCAGTGTCTAAATGCAGTTTAAAATTGGAAGTGGGCACCAGCACTTGGGATGAGGCTGAAAAATCCCCCTGCCAAATGCCGTTGAATGTGCTCACTCCCAAGGCCCTAAAGCTGGGCGGACACTGTGCGACTTTTTCACTCCTGGCACTCAGCTTCAGCTCAAACTGTACGACTTACTCGCAGGGCAGATCTCACGAGTCATGTGCTCACACTGTACGACCCAGTTATTGGATGCGACCTGACTCCTCACACTGTACGTCTGGTAGCAACACGTCGGACCTAAAAAATATGCTAAAAATAGCAGTTTTTACACAACATGTCAGACACTTTTGTCTTGTTTTGCCTGTTGTCCTTCGGGAGTGCTGCAGGAGGACACACAGGGATTCATGGGGGTTGGATGAGGAAAACTGTCATGGTCTGCGTCTGCGTCTTTCCTTCATGTGTCTCCTGATGTTTCTCCATCCCTCTCTAGATTCCCTTCTGTGTCTCATAGCGCCCTCATGTGTCCTTTGTCTGCATCTCATTTATGTGTCCTCTGTTTGTAGGCCTTCATATCATCCCCTCAGGTCCAGTGTTCATTTAGTCATCCTCAGCCTCCTCCAGTTTGTAGCTCCAGCCTCTTGTTCCCCAGCTCAGTATATATGTGTGTGTGTTAGTGTGTGTATGTGTGTGTGAGTTTTTGTGTGTGTCAGTGTGTGTATGTGTATGTGTGAGCCCTTCCCTCTGTCTTTAGATATTGTTGTTTAGTTTTGTGTTTTAGGTTTATTTGCCCTCTTCTGTTTCTGTTTTCCCAGTTAGATAATTATATTCACCTGTCTTCCCTCCAGCCCTCACTCCACACTCCTGCTGCCATTTTCCCTAATTACTCCTCCCTGTGTATTTAAGCCCTGTCTTGTCTCTGTGTTGTGTCGGTCCATTGTGGTTATTCTGTCAGTCTCTCTAGCCTCCAGTGTTTTTTGTCTCTAGTTTTGATTTTGGATTTTGGACTTTTGGCTCCCTGCCTTGGATTTATTCTTTGGTTCATCCTTCAAAATAAAGGATTTTTCTTTGTATTATCACCTGCCTCATGTCATCTTGAGTTCCTGCATTTTGGGTCCTACCAACCTCCAGCATATCGTGACAAAAACAAAATAAAGAAAGTAAATCTGTGTTTTGTGATCAGTTTAATTTGACATGAACACAACAAACACGCTTTCTTGACAATACTTGTCACTGTGTGTAAAAAAAAAAAACGTTTAGAAATAAAAACGTACAACGTGTGTTATTAGGGAAGTGGTGGGTGAGCGGTGTTGATGCATGATTGTGCATGCGCCGTGAGCGGTTCTGGTACTTTTTGGGTTGCAGCCGCTCGCTGCACCATTTCAACCCTCACGAGGAACGAGCAAAATATCAAACACTCCAGAAGTCCGTGCGAGCTCACGATTGCTGATTGGTAGCTGGTCACATGGTGTTGATCGCCTCTCCTAACCCCCTGTATACTACACGACGCTCAGCGCAAAACTCGCCCCGATCTTGTGGATTCTCGCACGAGTGGAAAATCAGCTCAAAAGTGAAAAAGTCGCACAGTATATGGCCGGCTTTAGTATGTGTTTGCGTAGAATGTCGTTGGTGGAAGTGTTTAAGGTGCTAATAAAATTGGGGGGGCAGGTTGCCACAGGAATGCAGAAATGGGGTCCATACCCGCACCCCCTGACTTGTCCACCCCCCAAGGTCCTATGTGCATGTTTGTGTGATGATGTGAGGGAACAAGAGGAGAAAAATGTGGGGATGGGGAGGAATGGCTGGTTGGACTAAGCCCTCCAGGGAGCCAGCCCCCCCCCACTGGCCCCAATAGGCACCTCTGTTGCCAAAATGCCACCCAGGGCATGGAGACCCCAGCCCATCTTGCCAGGGCCCAAAGCAGCACCACCCAGATCCTCACATGGGTCCGGCCACCCCCACACCCCGAACCCCCAGGACCCCACCCAGACCTACTCAGGGGCAATGCACCTGCCAGGCATTGACCCATGGCCACCGCCAAGACCCCAAGGAGCCCCATTCACAACCGCCAGTAGTCCACCCCCCGAGGCAACCCAAGCACCTCCAGAGGGAGGCAGCAGCCCCCCAGTCCCAGACACCCCCAGTGAACCCACCTCCAGGGAACGTCTGGATACTCCAAACTCAGACCCTCCACCCCATCACCCACATCATCTCGCAAGACAATATCAATGATCCCTCATCATCGCTATCAATCAATCAATCAAAGCTTTATTTATAAGCGCCTTCCGCAACCCTGTCAGGAAGCCCAAGGCGCTGAACATGGTACAGTAGAAGTACAAATATAGTGAATAAATCAAAAATAAAAGTCATTCAAAAATAAAAGCAATTCAAATTACAAAAAAAGGTGAAACATTCTAATACAGGACAGATGGGTAAAACAAGGGATAGAGTGAACCAATCAAAACTGTGAAAGAAATTCAACGTAAAAGAGGGCAGAGTCAAACATGTTCAGGAAACGCCAAGCGGAGAAGGTGTGTTTTTAGGCGACTCTTAAAGGCTGGCAGAGATGGGGACAGCCTAACTGAGGGTGGCAACTGGTTCCAGAGTGACGGTGCTAGGACTGAGAAAGCCCGGTCCCCGCGAGTACGACACCTAGAACGAGGGACAGCGAGCAGGCCTTGGTCAGAGGAGCGCAGAGCGCATGATGGGGAATGTTTGTTCAGGAGAGTGGCCAGATAGGGGGGAGCACCACCCTGGAAGAAATTGTAAACAAAGACCAGGATTTTGAATTGTGCACGATAGCAAACCGGAAGCCAGTGAAGGGAGGCCAGAACCGGACTGATGTGGTCCCGTTTCCTGGTCCCAGTCAGGAACCTGGCTGCGCTGTTCTGCACAACCTGTAGGTGACGCAGTGATGACTGACACAACCCTAAATAAAGAGAGTTGCAGTAATCAAGCCTAGAAATAACAAAGGCATGCAGTACCCGCTCCAGGTGGGCTCTCAACAGCACAGGCTTGATATTTGCAAGGCGTCTCAGGTGAAAGAAACGGGACCGGATCACTGAGTTGATGTGAGCCTCAAATTTAAGTCCAGCATCAATTTTCACCCCCAAACTGGTACCAACTGGTTTTGAGTAGGGAGAAAGAGGGCCAAGATCAACATAACGACCCACATTCCTGCTGTTTGGGTGAAAAACAATGAGCTCTGTCTTTCCCTCATTCAGATGCAGATAGTTGGCCATTAGCCAAGACTTCACCTCGTTAATACAGGACACAAAGGACTGGATAGAGCGACCTTTCTCCTGACACAATGGAGAGTAAA